AAATTAGAAGGGGAAGCAGTGATTATTATTTGATTGCGTAGACGTTTCGCTCCTGGTAGTATGCCAAGTACGACAAAGAGGTTATATTCCTATTTACCCTACCGTTCCGTGTCAGACGCAGAACAATAAAACTACACATTGTTAAGCGCTTATTGATATCGTTCTCATTTTTATTATGGATGTATCTTTTAACAAAAACTCGTTAGCAGTTAATTGTGATTAAGAAAACAAAAGTATAAAACAACTTTTATTTGGATACAGCATCGAGCCATGACCATTACCTACCTGCGTACACACTTTGCCCAAGTTCCATTATCTCTTCCATGGCGCTGACATGCACAAACTTCCCCAGTGCCTGCCCATGAATGTTGTAGACCACGATATAAACGTAGTCAAAGCCATCCCATGGTGCAAGGATCTTCTCGTTTGGTTTGAGATTGCCGGAATCCGTCTCTACAAAGGGTACACAAAATAAAACTTTCTGAAAACCGACATATTCGGCTCACTTTTCTTTATGCCATTCGATATTATACATCCCGTGAAAACATGTAACAGTTTATCATTCGTAATAATCTTGCACACACAAATGCATGATATTCTAAGCAAAAATATTTTTTTTTTAAATAGGCAAACCCTAGTTGATGTTATACTAGTCCCCTTTTACTTCTCTGTCTCTCAGTGTTGATTACTCTAAAAACACGCCTTTGATAAATCCACGTATAATTCATCATGGGTTTAAATTCTTGGCTGTTTCTGTAGACAAACTAGAAGGTAACGGGGTGGAACATTGATACGTACACGGATCTTTCATCCACGAAAAAATAAGGTTGCTTCCTTACTTTGCTAGTTTATGGGAGACTTTGGAGAAATTCGAGGGTTACGTAAAGGACATGACCACCCAAAAGACGTTGGCACCGTGCTGGCCTCTGAAAACTCTGAGGCCCTGGAAGGTTTCCGGACATAAATGACAGAATCATCGATGACAGGGTGAACAGAAAGTCATGCACGATAGCGATTATCCAAAAACATGCGTCAAATGCAAATGAAGACTCGATAGAACCGATGAAACAACTCACTTTAAAAATCCCAACATAGTAAAGGGGAATTTCAATTTTTAAAAAACCCCGGAATAGGCAGTACGTTGGTGGCATTCGGAATTACGATATAACAGAAAGAGTCGAGAAACCTGTAAAATTGTATAAAGATCACAAATTCGCTGAGATGAACCCTTGTTTCAAGAACCACTCAAGAACATGCTGGACGTAGAAGAATCCAAGGGACCAAATTGGCTACATATTTAGAGAAAAGCCCTAATAACGTGATAAAAGTATATGCTAGGAGCAGATTGTGAAAGTGATTATCAGTCGTGGCTCGAATGCATGAAATCAAACTGAAGAAACTAAAGAAGAACACAATCAAAATCACAGCTAAACCTACTATATACTGATAAAGAAATTAGACGACATCAGGTTGAAAATCTGAAAATCCGAAAATCTGAAAAAAAGCAGAAGAAAAATGGCTCAAAAATGAAGAGGTCTTTAAAAAGCAGACGGTGCATTATTTTGCCTGCCACTAAAGGGAAAGATCAAGAAAATGTAGCAATCAACATTGCATTATCTAACAAACCGCCTCTAACAGCAGGCAATAAACAGCGCTTTCAAACTGGATTAAAAACAAGTGACACAGAGGTAAAAAGATAAGACTATTTAATCTTTAAAAAACGTTCAACGGGATACAACCTGTGTTCTCTAATAGAAATATATCAGCCAACGCAAGCAGCCGAAACATGGTGTCTAAAAAGAATGCTCAAAACCGTACGGACACAGAAGAAACCAGCCTGATAGCAGTGTTCGAAATGCAAAATATGAAAGATTTCCAATCAGAACCGCAAGGAAGAGGCAGATGTGATTCTGTGGCCATATAAATAGAACAATTAATGGACTTGAAACAATGCTTTTGTGTGGGAAGTTAAAGGAAAAGAAGAGCAGACGAAGACAGACATAAAGCTCACTTTTGATATCCTTGTTTGGAAGAGGCATCTTCTTTACGGCGCCAAATCCTTGAACGTAGCCTGTGTGTTGTTCTTCTGGTCTTGTAGGGCACGCTTAAAAATGTTTTTAAAAAACCCCCAAAACTGGCTTAGAAAAGTCCAGGCCAAAGTAACAAAAGAAATGTATATTATAACAAAACAGACAGACACTTGAGGTAAGAAAACCAATGGGAAAGACAAGACTAGTACCATGTCCTTAAATAATCTGGCCCAGCTGGTTGTGGTCCTGGAACGCATTAAGACATGAGTGACAGATGATGTTGATTATCTAAGAAGAGCACCAGTTATTTATTTTGGTGAAAAACAAATGATTCTGCACTGTACACTTCACAAAAAATTGACCTTTATGACGACACGATTACCAATTATGACAAATGATAGAATTAAACAAAACCCAATAAACAAAATTACTGAAGCACTAGGTAAAACTTAAGCTACTTTTGCCCACGATACAACATTATCTCTTTCTGTAGCAGTGTAATAAGTGAGATAACCTTGATTTTAACTCGTTTTTTTTTTGTCACCAAGTACAAGTATAATAATATGGTGATGACATAGTTTAAAGAAAAGCAGAGATGTAACTGTGTGTTACACACAAAGTGTTAACAATACAAACCAGAGAAAGTATGCAAACTTATCTCGTCTTCCTACGAAAGCTTCGTCCTGTTTTTATTTATTTACTTTTAATTTTTTGAATGGTGG